TAATGTAGGATTTTCTTAATTAAAAACTTGGTAATACATAAAAAAAAATATAATGTATCAGCAATAACAAATGATGATCAATAGTTCATTGAACAATTAACTTTGTATAAATGAGTCCTCAAAGTCAATTTATATAAATAACATGCTAACTATATATTCAATAATAAATGGCAATGATTATTAATTAAGTTTATATATTTTAGATGTAACTAATATTGGATGCCTAAAAAAAATATTAAATAAAAAATATTTTCTCCTCTTCCCAATATAATGACTGACTAATAGAAATAAAACAAGGAAAAAAACTAATCAAATTTAACAATTTATAATCCAGAAGTTTGAATTTCATGTAAAAGAATACAAATGTGAACTTTTTTTTAGTATGAATATATTTTGAAGAAAAAAGAGGAAATGCAACTAAAAAAAACAATACGCTCACCATTAATAACTATAAAGATATAATTAAAATAATTCATAAGATTACTGAGCCCTTAAAGTTTCATTGTTACATAATTAACTCCATACATAAGACAAAGAAAATATTTTTTTAATTAATGATAGAAGATGGATATCCTTAATTTAACACAATTTATTCACAAACCTGAAAAATTATGATACTTAAAATATTCCAATAAGTAACTTTTTTTAAGGAATTTAACAGATACCAAATGAGTATTTTAAATAATAATATTAGAGGAAAGATTGAGTTTTAATACATATTGCACCTATATTTCCAGAAATAGGCTAAACAAATTTAACACATAGAGGTGAAAGAATTTATTTGTGCAATGAATGTTGACTCTATATTTACTTAAGACTTAAGAATTTAAATAATATGTTATTTGAATTCTGTGTGGTAACTTCCATGACATTGACTGATTCTTGTAAAAATTTTTAACCTATTAATGGCAATTGTTGCGAAAATGTAAAACCATGAAAAATACTCAAAACAGGAGGAGAGGCAACAAAGGTAGACATGAATTCTCCTGTGTCAACAGGGCTATCTTCTTCATTCTCCTCATCTCTTATTTAGTCTATCAGTATGTCTTACTCCTACATTATTTATGCACCATGTCTTATTTCATGATTCGTGTCGAATTGTTGATTTTTACTGTTATATTTTCAATGCTAATATACACTCCTGTTGCTAGTAAATTTATTTGAGAAGCTGTTGATTTTTCATAACTTCTTAACACTTGAAAGAAATAAATTACATCAATGAGACAATGTTATTTCTTAAATGTACCCTTTAGAAAGACTTAAAAGTTCATTGTTGTATTTTTGCAACACTAGCTAAAAAGGGATGTTTAAAACAACAATTCTCTAACAAATAACAAATTATTTCTGACCATACACCACAGCTTTTTTCAGCTTTAAAAATGACAGATGCAAGTACAGCAAAACCTACAACGTTCTTTCACAAATCAAAACCTAAGATATTTGTTTCAAGTTGAGTTTGAATAAATTATGTCACTTTTAAAGGAGCCTGATATAACAAAAAGTTTTTTAACAATAATATGTATATTTTATTGCGATGATGATGAAGAAGATGGAAGGGGGTGAGACAATAATTTAAGCTTAGGATGACTAAATGTAGAAGCAGAGCTGGTTATTTTTTATGTCAATAAAAATATAAATAAGAATCTTTTGAATACTTCATTTTAAATTTTAGATATATTATTAAAATATACATGTAAGGAAAATAATACAGTAATATAAATCTTTGAATGTTTATTATATTGTTTCCTTTGAAATAGCATATGGGCAGTTACTTTATTTCTGGAAGGACCAAACTGAATCCTGAAGTGATATTTAATAGAACTGATTAAAATTTCTAGACAATTAACAATTTTTTGAAATTATATATATATATATATATATATATAGTGATATTTTTTTATAAAATCTCTAATAAGAAATGTCTGTCCCACTAATGGTTTAAAATAAAATTTCTAGTATAGCATACCTTGATAGAAGAAACAAAGTAGAAGACAGAATCAGAAGCCAACCACCATTAGATGTAAAGAAGTGTAAGGTACTTAGCTCCACATAACCACAGTTTTGGAGATGGATCTGTTGCTAAATTTTATTTGTATTAGCAAATTTTTTTCCAAACACAAATACCGTGCTGAATCAGAACCAATTCCACACCAAATCTCTTTTTAAAAAAAAATCCTATGATAGCTTATGAAAGTAATCATAAATGCAAACCACCTATACTATAGAGATGACAAAATATCCATTTTTTAGTTATATTACATACAAACAAAAAAAAGATTAAATATGCAGCTGAGTTTGATCAAACTTAAGCTGCCCTCTATCAATTTCTTAATCTACTAAATTTTAAAGATATGGTCAGTATCCACATTCCAACTACAGGGTTTCTATGAAATGCATTGAATAACAACTTAGCAGCTATCTAACATACCAATATTTTTGTTAAGTTCATTTTAAATTACTAGTATTACTTTACATTACATATTTCAAACAAATATAATATTATATTTTAGGATAGTACTTAAAAATTAATATTGCATGTGATTTGAGGCCTGTTTACAATTTTATGAAGAAGAGCTTCCTGAATTAAGCCAAACCAAGTCTTTTCTAAGGACTACAATAATTTCCCAATAGGGTTTAAAAAATTGCTTCAATCTTCTAACATAACTAAATTCAAAATAGATTTCTAATCCATAAGGAATGAGGAAGATTTAATAAAATACAATTGTTTTTATTTACAAAGTACCTTTATGGTTTAAACAGAAAAAAACATAAAACAAAGACTTTATTTACTCTTAAGAAATGTAATTTTCAGGCATGGAACTTTCATAATTTTAGAGATATTTATGTTCTCACTCATCCATGCATAGACAGCTATTGGAACTAAACAGTGGTATATAAATCTGTGGTGCATTTATATATATATATATATATATATATATATATATATATATACAGGGTGTCCCGTAAGTAAAGGAAACTATTTAAAAGGTTGTCAATAGATATCAAAATCTACAAAAAAGTTCATATAAACAATCGCCCAATTTCCAACAGAAAAGTAGCAAATTTAAGATTTGTACTTTTTTAAACGATTTGTGTCTTTTGTTGAATAGTAAGTGATAACTTAAAATATATTTAATTTAAGAAATTAAACTCCATATTAGTTAAGACTATTTAAAGAGGAATATTGACCAGGCCAAAACAACTAAGTCATATAAAAAAAAATTCAAATTCTTTGTGATTTTTTTTTTTTATTATCCTTTAACTGTACTACATTTACAACATCCCACTTAGAGAAAAAAAATCCTTGTTACATAAGCTTTAAGTCCATAATAATTAAGTTGAAGTTTATTAGGAAACATTTTGATATTTACCTCAAGTTGTGTAAAGAAATGATGTTATTTTCTATCTATTAACTTAAAAGTACCCTTGTTTTCTGCAAAAATGACTACAATTAACTATTGCAAAGCCTTTAATTCTTGTTTTTCCTTAATATGGGATATATTGTCATAAACATAATTGCCAAAAAACACATTTTAATTATAAAAATGATGATTTTTCACATAAAGTGGTAATGAAATTGTTTTTTGCCAGATATCCGTCATATGATTTAATAATTATTTGGTTAATTGTAGTAATTTTTGCAGAAAACATGGGTACTTTAAGGTGACCGGATAGGAAATCACATCATTTCTTAACACAACTTCAGGTGAATCTCAAAATTTTTCCTAATAAACCTCAACTTAATTAATATCTACTTTAGGCTTATTAAACGAGGAACTTTTTCTAAAAGTGGGGTAAATGTAATGCAGTTGAAGGGTGTTAAAAAAAAACCCAAAAATAATTTATGACTTTTTTTTTCAACGGAACTTAGCTGGGTTTGTCTGCTCAATAGCCCTCTTTAAATAGTTTTAACAATGACACACTCTACTTTTGTTTCAAGTAAATTTTGTCAAGTTTACTATGGAGTAATAACACTCATAGTTGAACACACTCATGTTCAATTACTGAAATCCAATATATTATAAGGTACCGATTCCTATAAGACAAAAAACATGACTCACATAAAAAACACAACTCTTAAATATGCTACTTTACTGCCGGAATTGGGCAATTGTTAATATGAACTTTTTTGTAGACCGTGATATCTGCTATCAACCTTTTAAATATTTTCCTCTACTTACAGAACACCCTGTACATACACAAACAAACGTGTGTGTGTGTGTTTTACATGTGTGTGTGTGTGTGTGTGTGTGTGTGTGTGTGTGTGTGTGTGTGTGTGTGTGTGTGTGTGTGCGTGTGAAAAAAATACCTTGTAATTTTTACAAAAAATGGGTCTTTTCTTTCTTCCTTTCTTTTTAAAGTCTTGAACTAATCTACATTGTTTTACAAAATTATAAAATGTCAAGAGTTTAATTAAGACAACTATATTGATTTCTCTATAATATAACATATATCTTATCTTAAAAAAGTGAGTAAAATTTCTTAACACAATTATTTTTCAAATACTTTCAAGGATTAAAAATTTACAAACTTTTTTTTTAAAAAAAAGTTTAAACATTTATTTTGTCTTATAACCTACACTCAGGTACCTTTTCAGCAATTATTTTAAATCATATTTTCAACTTATTTTACATAATAACATTATATTAAAAACAGAATCATCATTATATTTAAAAATAACCATGTTTACATTAAAATCAGAACCAATTATATTTAAAAATAACCATATTTACATTAAAATCAGAACCAATTATATTAAAATCATAATCAATTATATTAAAATCATAATCAATTATATTAAAATCATAATCAATTATATCAGAATCATTTTCAATAGAATCATCATTGCATTCAAAATTAGAATCATTATATTCAAAACAGAATCATTATTATTTTCGGGTATACAGCTGGAGAAGATGTTACCTAAGATCATACCAAGAAGTTCATTTAGCCATCACCGAGCATTCAAAAATAAAAAAATATCTGTTTATGAGTGTTACCTGCTGATATGGCTGAGGAGCAATATGTGCTTGAGGTGAATAAGGCACAGTAAATTGAGTATGCATGGGCGCAGGAGCTAATAAAGGTTGTCCTGTTGCAGCTGCCACTTGCATTTGAGAAGGCTGAGACATGCCCATATGAACTGGAAAAGATGAACCAATGAAATATTGACATTTTATTTTATTTCTTAATAAATGGATTTACGATGCAAAGATGGATTTATGAGTTTCTTCAAAAAAATTAATAACTGGGTATTTTTGAATTTCAAAAGTAATGTCCTATTTCAATATAAACTCACAATTTCCCTATTTTGATGAACACTCATGACTACATTTAAATAAAAATTTCCTAATTTTCATTGTAAGTAATAAAAAAAAGACATAAAATGAATTTACCTTTACGATATCTGTTTGCCTGGTTAGGTTGTTGAGCATAAGGAGACTGTGCAGCTGCAACAACATAAGTAGGCATTACCATTGCCTGCAAGGGGGGAACAGGCCCTCCATATCCAGGAGTTTGTGGTGTATGTGGCCTTGATTGTGTAGGAGTACTAGCTGACCTCTAAAAAAATATAATTTTTTAATAAAGGATAATCTGAAGATGGAAAAATTATCCTGAAACGTCAGATGAGATTAAAAAAGATTAAAGATAAAAATGGAAGTTTAATTGCCTTAATCTTAAAATTTTTGTTTATGTGTTTATAATGTTTTTAAACAGTAGTTAAATACAAACTCTTATCATTTGTCTTCTTAATCTTTAAGGATTCATTCTTTGGTTTGCCACAAAATAAATGTTAACACTTCCAGGCCAGTTTCACCCCGGCACACCCAGATATGAGAATGATAAAGTGAAAACGTTTTAACACACTCATGCTCTCTATCTTCAAGGAGCCATTAGACATTTTACCATAGTTCTTAAATAAATCTTCTACATTACGCTATAATGAGCCAAACGTCCCTAGTTTTCCTTCAGTTTAATACAAATGACCAACGCAATCACTGAAACAAGCTCAACTTATTTCTCCAAGACAATATCATAGATATTTTCCAGAAAACCTATTTACAAAAAATTCCGAGGGAACTATCCGGGTCTTGCTGTATGCATCAAAATCTTCAAGGTCATATCTGTCTCTTATCAATCTGCAGACCTAACACCGTTCCAGTATTGAAGCCTAGCAAAATGTTTGTATCGACTTTATTTATTTTAAAAAGAAAAAAAGTGGAGAATATGATTTCCTAACGCCCCGTGAAATTCTGAATCCAACGGTACCCCATTCATGGTATTTAAGCATGAAAGGAGCTTATATTAGGTACAAAACCGATTTCGATCCTTACTGTAATAATATATGTGGGGATTATTTTATTAAATAATTATTCATTATTTTCTTTTTTTTTCAATAATTTTATGTAACTACTATCGAATCATAATTAATTTTTTTTTCTTACTTGATAGTTTTATAACATGACTTTTTCATCTAATATTTTATATATTTATTTCAAATAAAATAATTCATTTCAAAGAATTTTTAATTAATAAATAATTCTAATTCAAAGGAATAAAAATTAAAATAATTTATTCATAAATTTATTGATTACATAAACAGAAATATCTATTCATAATTAAATATTTATTCATTTCACAAGATATGTGTACATATCTTGAGGATATAAACTTTATGGATTATGCTCTATTGGACTAATTAATAGTTATATATGTTATCATTTTGTTTATTTTAAAAATTTTGTATTTGTTTATATAAATATCTTTCATTCCTGCTTTGTTTTAAGTTATTTAATTATGCTGTTCTCGCACTCTTTTATATAGTTTGTTTCAATCATGCATATGGTGGGCATAGCCCCAGATGAAAAAACAAAATTCTAATAGAAATGAGACTGATGAATAAGACTGAAATCAGATGGTATGGGTTCTGAGAACTGGAGGACCGGATCAAGAAGAGGTTGATCATACAGTTGTTGGTATGATATAGGGAAAGATAGTGGCGATAGATAATGTTTTCCTAAATTACCAAAAGTTTCCCAAAAAGTCACAGAGGTCCATGTTGAACAACAGGACAAAGCTTTACGCCTTTATAATAAAGTTTGACTTATTTGTGGGTTTTCTTAAAAGGGAGAAAGAGATCTTGAAACCCACATTGCAAAAAAACATCCCAGGGATGCAAACAGCAATACACTTGGGGTATAGTTAAGGTCCTAAAAATGGAGAGGGTAGGTATTAAAAAAAGGAGGACATCGCTGGATGGTCTGCTGTTGATGAGCCTCTTAACGCAAAACATGTTAAATATCGCATAAGGCCTTAGGAAAGTTCCTAAATTTTCCAAAGTTATTAATGCGGAACTGCCAGGTTCCCAGCAGTCAAATGTTTGAGAATGAGAAAAAAAAAAAAAAAATGGCAGACAAAGGTGCTGGACAAGTTTCAAATTGGAAAACAGCAAACAAGGTAGGCAGGAGTCATCAGCAAAACGAATACCAATAAAAGATTGCACAATATAATTATAACAACAAAAGTAAAAAGGTAGTGTGAACCCTTGTGGATGGTGATACTCCTAAGCAGTCTCCTTAAATATGAGTCATAGGCACTTCAATCAGCTATGTTTTGGACCAGCTAACATCTCTTTATGATTTTCTGTGCTGAACAGTCCCAAACAGCAAATCAGGCTTCGCATAGGTTTTTCGAATACTGGTTTTCAAGTGAGATAAATTATTCTTAACGTTCTATAAAGGTTTAAGAGACGGTAGCACCGCCAGCTGTGATTATAGTTAACATTCTCCGTTGAATAATTCACATTAAAACTTAACCAATGTTAAAATTTGGGTTGTTTCACCAAAAAAATTTTAAATAGAGTTAGTTAACATGGTGTGACCGTGTGACGTCACCATATTTATGATGTATTTTAAAAAGAACCGGTGATTTTTGTAAATTGGATTATTCTAAGAAACCTTCCATCCAACTGCGTGTAAAACGTGTGTGATATTTATAAATAGCTAGGTTTTAGGATATTTATTACAACTTGATATTTATTGTAAAGAAGATGGAAAAAAGAGGAAGAGGGAGTAATTTTTCAGAAAGTGAAAAACAGTCACTGTTTTCCATAATATTTGAACTTTTCAGAATAATAGAATACAAAAAAAACGATGGGATAACAATCAAAGAAAAAAATTCTGCATGGGCGCAGGTTGCAGAAGCATTTAATGCCGCCAACAATGGCTTTATAGAAGCATTTAATGCCGCCAACAATGGCTTTAAATCACCTGCTCAACTGAAGAAGACAGCCTATGTGAATTTGGAGAGGAAATTGAAAAAGTACAATGCAGATGATAAGGTAGGTGCATCTAAATATTTCATATTAAACACAATTGAGGGGGTTAGAATGATAGTGGTGAAAGTGAAGTTTGCTTTGTTTTTAGAAAGTGAATGTTTATTTAATAGAAAATGTAGTTAAATAATGTAAATGTAAGTGGAATTATAATTAATAATAATAATAATAATAAAAGGCTTAGCGAACCCGAAGGTTCGATGCAGACACCACCAATCGCTTATTACACACCTCCCTCCACCGTTTGCCTTCCAAACCTAGTCCCTTCAGATCAGCTTTAATGCAATCTTCCCATCTTCGCTTCGGTCTACCTATCAGACGTTTAACATTCAGTACAGCAAATACCGAGATTCAACTCTTTTTCGGTACGCATTACCTCCCTAATGGTGTGTTATAATGCCAAATTGAACAGGTCAGGCAAAAGCGAACACCCTGTTTTAAACCCAAACAAACCTCAAACTTTTCAGATAAATTATTACCGATTCTCACTTTATTGAGAGTTTCCGTCAAGCACATTCTAACTAGATTTACTAGTTTTTTTTGGAATCCCCTGCTGAGATTAAAGTGAATATTTTATAACCATCATCATACCGGAAGGAGTGAAATTCCTCGATAGCTATTAGAATCCGTCCTCGGGCCCTTTTTGAATCAGAATAAGAATAGATTATTTCTATTATTCAGGTAATTACTCATTCTCCCAGATCTTTTTTAAAACCAACCGATGTATTTTAGAAACTCCAGCTTCCCTGCATGCCTTAATTAGTTCAGTAGGAATATTATCGGTTCCCGCTGCTTTATAAGATTTTAATTTTCCGATAGCTTCCAATTTAATTTTCCACTTCCTCTTTACTCGGTTCTTCTATTAACGGTTTCACACTCTGGTACTCAGGAGGACACAGATCATATATTCCCGTATTTGAAATATTGTCAAAGTGGTTTTTAAACTTATTTAATATGTCAACCGGATCGGTCAGAATATTGTTATTTTCATCCCTAATTCCAGACATTACGGGCCCTAAACATTTACGTGATCTGTTTATACCTTTGTACATGTCTCTTAGATTAACAATTATAATTATTATAAATATAAAATCGTGATATGTTTAGGCTGAGTTCTACAAAACTGAAAGAGGGCCTTCTGTACCACATAAAATTTATGAATCGAAAACAAAATTATAGGACCTTTTTAAGCCCCAGTAGGAGCCAATTCCTTCTGAATATGATTCTTCGGCAAATTATTTATTCATAAGTAATGTCATAACTGTATTTTGATATGAAATTCAATTCAAGTTGTTTAAATAAATAATAAAATCAGAATTTTTTTTACTATTGACAGTCTATATTATATTTTACAACTTTATTTGCAGAGTAGCTTTCGGTGTCCGGGCACCATATCCATCTCTATAATTATAACACTTCAATTAGGATAAATTAATAGTTAATCAATGACCTTAACAATACATGCATTACATATTTTTTTAATTGTCATGCAATTATTATCACTTCATGCCATACCCTTTTTCTATTTTTGTCTATTTAAATACATAAAGGATTGGAACAGTGTTCTTGTTCTTCATCTCACGTCAACTCTGAAAGGATTTATGGTTAAAATGTATGGCACAAAGAAAGATAATGATTGCATGACAATTAAAAAAATATTAATACATCTATTTTTAATGGCATTAACTATTAATATAACCTAATTGAAGTGTTATAATAATAGAGATGAATATGGTGTACGGAGAGCAAAAGCTATTCGGCAAATAAAGTTGTAAAATATAACAGAGACTGTCAATGGTATAAAAAATCCTGATCTTATAAGAACATACAAAACAGTCTAAAATTACCTAATAAATAATAAAATTAATTCTGTTTTTATTATTTTATTTCAGCAAACCAAGCAGCTAAAGTAGATAGTCAAATTACATTAATAATAGACCCTAATACTATACAGACACTGGATATTTCAGCAGGAAAAGAAGGTTGTTCAAAAGGAATTTCTTCTGAACCTGAAGCCAACAACAGTAATCGTAGAATGTTTAAAAGAAAACGGACGATCTCTAATATTTATCGGAATGTAAGTGAATATACAGTCAAACGAACATATAATTATGAACAATTACAGCAAAAAAAATGAAGTTGAAATGGAAATTCTCAAGGCCAAATTAGAATGGGAGGAACACATGAAATTAAAAGCTTTACTACATAAAGAAATATCGTCAACAAAATATGAACAAGAAAAAGAGTTAAATCGTATTAAATTCGAAAAGGAAAAAGAATTAGTTAATGTAAAATTTGAACAGGAAAAAGAATTAGGTCATATAAAATTGGAGTTCGAAAAGGGGGTGAATTCGCTTAAAATACAGCAAGAAAAAGTAAAACTAATGTTTGAAGAAGAAAAATTAAAAGTAGAAATATTAAAAGCCAAAGCTTTGAAAACATATTAATCTGCTCTCAACCTTTTTTATTTTGTGTTTTTATGTTTTTACAATCAACATATGTTTTAGTTTTCAGAGATCTCACCTCACTCGAGGTATTTATACGAGCGTAGTCGCTATTTAAGTTTTTTGTATCAGTTTTGCAATTTATTAATTTTTCTATATTTTTGGTAATATGGTTTGCTTCTATTTTTCTGTGTGTTTAACTACGCTCAATATTTCTTTATTATACTGTATTATACAGATTATAATACATATGTCCTATTTATTTTTTTTATATTGATTGATTCTTATTTTTTGGAGGTCTCTCCTACAGAGATGGGCAAATGCTACTACTCTCTGAGTACCGAGTACCAAGTATTTTACTCAAATCGAATCACAATTGGGAATTCAATAACTACTTCAGTTAATCGTTTGACATCAACTGAAGAAGTAATTAAATTCTTGGGTACTCTAAAAAGGTCAGCGTTTGAGTAAAATACTTAGTACTCACTATTCAGAGTAGCATTTGCCCATCTCTGCTCTCCTTTGTATGTTTTATTACAATTTTTATATTCTATTTCATAAATGGTTTTTTAAGTTATTGTTATTATATATTACTAGTTTTATACTGTTGTGGTGATCATAGGTGATCAGTGCTTTTTTAATTTTATTTGTCAAATTTGGAATATATTATATTTAATATGTTTTATTTTATTTGTGATTTCTATTGTATCTTTTATTTCATTTCTCTTAATTATTTTGTCAATAAAAATCAGTTATTAATGTTTGATTTTGATTTTTTATTTCTATTGATTTTATAATTGTTTCTAGGCCAGATATAATTTTACTATTTCTTTATCTTTATTATTGAAACTAAAATTAAAATTGTCACCTAATGTAAGGAGATCATTGATGTTAATAGTTATGCTTTTATTTGTTTTGTTTACTATGCTGTTTTTTATTTTGTGTTAAGTCTGCTATTTCCAATGGATGTATGTAATTCCTTTTATATTTGTAACTATGTGGTTTCCTTTAATATTTTTTGGCATTAATTGAGGTTAATTTATCTTATCTTCTTTATCAAATAAAAAACTGATTTTTATTTTATTAACGCCAGTTTTGTTTATTTTTCTATTTATCTTGATGTTAAGATTTTCTTTATGACTATTTTCCACTGTATTTCTTTATTACATTATTTATATTTGACTTCTTCTTATTCTCGAGATTTTCTATTTCTTTAATTAATTGATCTATTCTTTTATTTATTATCCAATAGGTTTTATTTATTTCTAGGTATATGATTTTATTAGCTAATTTTTTTAAAATAATCACGATTATTCAAATTTATTAAAAATAAATTATCAAGGGTTTGTATCTTATAATATACATGGGGGGGGGGATTTTATTTTATATTTTATGTTGTTTAAGAAAAAAAAACATTACATTGGGTAAAATAAAAATGAATTATAAAGTATATAGTATAATATATTTTCATATATTAGAAACAAAATTGTAACAAATGTTATGTGGTTCTAACAGCTTTTAAAATAGTCTCTGAGGATGTGTAAAGATTAAAAAATGTTAGAGAAATGAAATAAATATGATTATATGAAAGGGAGAAATTTTTTTTTCATAATATACCTATATATTTAATAAAAGTTTTGAATACACCTTAATCAATTTAATTTTTTTTCTTCTTGACTGATAATGTACTAACATATTTAATATAAAATTCAAGATAAAGTATTTTGATAATGGTGAAGATTACAATTATTCAATGACACAGTAAATGGTAATAGTAAAGTGCTTTATGAAATAATTGACTTACAAAATGTAATTATTAACTTTTTACCTCAGATAGCCACATCATCCAACCAGAAATAAGGTACACATTTGTACACATATAAATTCATAAGACATATACACTTCAAATCTTTTATTAAACTAAAACAAGAAATATTGTTAAGGAAGTAAAAATAAATTGATACATTCCTTGTCAATTTGAAAAATTGGTATTAATTAATGCTCAATGGATAGGCATATTATTATCAGATGTAATTTCTGGAGGGAAAGCAGAATCTTGAAAATCATCTTCTGGTGTGAGGTAGACATCTTCAGTTTCTAATGCAATATTGTGCAAGACCACAACAGCAGCAATAACGTTTATTGTTTTTTCAGGTTCCATTATTATTCCATTGACAAGGCAAGGAAATCTTCTTTTCATCACACCAAACGCTCTCTCAATGGTATTTCTTCCTTTTATGTGAACAGCATTATATTTTTCTTTGGCTGTATTGCAGGGGCTTAAAATGGGAGTAAGTAAATAAGATTTGCAGCCATATCCACTGTTTCCAAGTAGCCAGAAATTATTAAATTCTCCTGATTTAAATCTTGCTCGTAATGTGCTTGAATTAAGTATTCGACTGTCATGTACAGAGACAGGCCAACGAGAAACAATATCAAGAATTTTTAAGTTTGCATCACACACTTGTTTAATGTTTAACGAAAACCATCCTTTTCGATTCCGAAAAAGTTCGGCATTATCCCCACCTGGAGACTAAATTTTAATATGGGTGCAGTCAATTGCAGCAATTATTCCAGGAAAAGATCTAATATAGTACAAGTTTCTTACATTTTTGTTCATAAATCCATCTGTTTGGGGCATTTTTGTGAAATATTTTGATTTTTTGGAAATTAGTTTTGTTATACGAGGAATTATCCTACTCACTGTAGATTTATCAATATTAATATGGTTGCCTAAAACTGTTTGAAAACTTCCAGTAGCATAATATCTTACAATTTGTTTTTAGGAAGCAGATTGATAAGATTTAATAAGTCTTCATCTGATGATAAACTTTCTTCTGAAGAATGTTCTTCAGATGAAATTATATTTGTAGTTGTCTTGAAAAACGTAAGAAACAAAAACACTACACTAGTATTCTCAGAAGAAGCTATTAATAGTTTGTTGTTAGAAGTAGCCGTATGTAAGATTAGACTTTAACATCGTTTAGATTTGATGAAGATCTGAGGTTGGATTAGTTTGTTGGGTTAACTTAATGCGGTGTTAAGACTAATATACATTGGTGGAACAAAAATTGTGTTAACCAGAGTTAACTGATCAAGATTAGTAAAATAAAAGTTAACAATGGTTGGTGCAACAGGCCTTAAGTCTTAAACCCAACAATGTATGTAAGAGTAAACTTTAACTATATTAATAATTCTACAATCTATAAATTAGTCAAAAGTAATGTTTAAAATATGATAAGTTCAAGCAGAATATAAAGATACTACACTGCTTTTATTACAAAAATCAAAAGGAATTGTGATTAAATATCATATATCCGACTTGAAATAATAAAAAAAAATATGTACTTTAATAGTTCTTACCGGTGTGAATGGTTTTGCATTTGGATTATAAATGAATTCTTTGGCATTGGGATTCAGTTTAGATTTTAAAGCTTTTGAATCAGTTGATTCTGGATTACCACCCGAAGAAGGTCGAGAAATAGTAGCTTCTGTAGGTGTTTCTACAGTTCTGGAAATGGTCTGGATGTTTGTTATTTCTGATTCATTTGCTGTTGGTTTTTTCTCTTCAGTTCCTTCATTATATTTGAAATCTGATTGAAATTTTTTAAGTTCAGATATTTGATCATCTCTACCTAAAAAGTAAATTAACGCATGAATAAATTATATAACTCATTTTTACAATTTTTACAAAATGTATTTGTTAAACAGGAACTATATTACATAACATTCTAAGTACTCTTGACACTTTACTAGGACTTACACCTTCAACCACAATACTAGGACTAACATGAATTAAGGTGATTGTTTTACCTCTACATTTTAATATAGAGATGGACGAATAGTACTTGGAGTAGTTTACACAAATACTCACACCATTATTATGTTTTCAGAGATGTAGTTTTTAGAAGTACTACTGATTTTATAGTAAATCAATTACAAATAAATTCATATAAGCTTTTCAGATTTCTCAGTATTTTTGGATTTCTTCAGTATCAATGTCTATAATTATGTTTTAGGGGACATAGTTAGTTTTTTTAAATTATATGGTAGACCTAAATGGTCATCAATTCCAATAAAGTTCTTCCCTTCCCCCTCTGTAATTAATTTGTGGTGTTCCTCAGGGATCTTCTCTTTCACCGATCCTTTTCTCTATTAATATTAACAACACCCAAGATTCCATCCACCATTCACAATACCACTTATATGCTGATGACCTCCAAATCTACTTACAAATCTACTATACCTATTTCCTTCCGCACTTCCTTTAAATACATTAGGGTAATGTTTGATTAATACCTATCCTGGAATAATCATACCTCCAAAATTCAGATAGCGATTTCTGAGGGTCTGTATCATAACAATGAAGCAGCTATCAGCTGGACCTGTTGTTCTTGGATGGACTGATCACAGCCTCCTAGTGTAGCTTCCTGCCTCTTGAAACCTCTGGACTGTCTGCCAAACCGTTGTGTCAGGCCACATATCGCTGACTTTGGCCGTTCTCAATTAATGCAGTAATCTGAGGGACTGCCACGGCATCCAAAACCATTTTACAGTCTAAATGGACCTGAAGTCAACTGCGACAGTCTGACCACCGCAGCCTGCGTATCACAACTCTGTGCTTGCTGAATAGCTGTTAGTATTTTCTTTGGGGTTGATTGCTCTAGAATCTGAGCGAGATGTTCAACCCAATTTAATAATTACAACATCATGCTCCTTACAGAGGGCATAGATTTTACTATTTCTATGCCTTCTCCATTGTCCGTTCTCATAGGCTTATAGATTTAGCGAAGGATTTTCTTAACAAAAGTAAGCAGATCTCTTTTATCTTCTTTTAAAGTAATCCAGATCTCAGAACCATAACTCAAAACAGAGCGGATAAGGGTTTTTGTAGAGAAAGACCTTAGTACACTGCGAGACAAGTCTGCTGGATAGGTGTGAACGGAATCCATAATAACAGGGATTCGATGAGATCATTCTTCTCTACATCTCTGCTGAGATTCCATTATCACACATCACTTGCGCATCAAGGTATTTAAATTCTGACACTTGTTAAAACATGTATGGACCAAATGCAACTTTGGTACCAATCTGTCAGGGAGGATGGGGGAGAGGGCTGATCAGACACAATATATTCTGTCTTGTCTTGCTTGACAACAGAGATGTCTTGCCGCAGGCTTGAGAGCCAAGAATGCTGTTACTACTTCAGGCTCAAAAATATATCATTAATATGCAGTTTTTGTAAAAATTCAATTTAAAATTGAATTAAAAAATTTTGTTTTGTTTTTTCCACTAGTTTATACCCTTCAAAACATAATAATAGACCTTGATGTCAAAGAAATTCAAAAAGTTTAAATAAATTGATACATAATTGATTTGCATAAAAATTGATAGTATTCTTAATTACTACATATCTCTATTTTAGCTATCAGCGAACTTTTTCAGCATGAATGCTTTTATCTTACTATGGTGGTTCATAAAGGAAAACAAAAAGTTGTTTTTTATTTAATTTGTTCACAAACTAAGATACAACTCTAATGTCTTTACTCTAATGTTTAACAATAAACATAAAACCAGATATGAGGGGAGAGTTCAACTGTATTAAAATAAAATTTCTTCAATAAAAAATTACTAATAAGGAAGCAAAACAAAAATTAAAAAAAAAAAAATTAAAAAAATGAATAATATCAGCAATTTGAAACTTGAATGTGTGCTTACCTCTAGATACTTTTCTAGGAATATTTAGTGATGTAGATCCTTGGTGTTCAGGAGGATGTTGTAAAATTGGTGGTTTCCTATGATGATGATCTGAAGATGAAATGACATTATTGGTTGAATAGTTAATGTGGTTGTGGTTATGATTGACTGAACTTCGTGATGTCTCAGTGGAGACATTATTACAAGGGGTTGTCGTTTGGGTGGTAACATTTTGTGTTTGATTGAAACGAGAAGGCTCACTACTCGCAAAACTTCGTGCTTAAAATAAAAGATACACATATTAAAAAATGAAATCAGTAATGTTCACATTAATAAAGACTACTTAAATAACAATATGAGGTACACAGAAAAAAAAACGATAATTGAAAAAAAAATAGATTACATAGAGAATGCAATATTTAATCAATGATAAAAATTCAGATGGTACTGAAGAATATGTTATTCAAACAAATTTATCAAAACTTTAGAATATATAAATATTAAGACCTTGATTAAGTTCTCTTTTTTTTTTTTTTGTGAAAATTAATGCTTTATTCAAAGTAAGAGGTAAAAACAATGTCACTCAAAATATTGCCAATTACAAGCCACCATCATTCTGGCAGCATATGAATTCTATTTCAGAAATACTACTCGTCTTTTAGAGCTGTTTAAGATCGAATACAACCATTTTTCAGCTATAATGCTTAGAATAAAATCTGGTGCGCGCATCACATGACTTTCACTTGATACCCTCTTCTTAGCAGAAATAAGTATTTTCAAACAAAGGGGAAGTGAAAGTAAAAATTATTGACGCTATATTTATTTATAATTCATTGTGGCTATTTTTATTTGTTTAAATACCCTTATATATACAAATTTTAATTTTTACATCGCTATATTCTATAACTTAAATATTAAATAATAACAACAATAGCATTTATGAAAACCGCCTATGTATATGAACATGATATTGTCGGAGTCCGTATATGTGAAGTTTATATGAATATATGAAACTCATGTTACGTATGGAAGTCTGTTATAATCTTTCGGGCGAACTCGGGTGTGCTCGGGCAAGTTCGTATTCCTTAGATTCGTCTATCACAACTATTACCCGTTACGATCTTTTATTTCTCCTTTAGTTGATTATCAAATTCTTTGATATTTTATATTTAACTAATTTTTATATCAAAGATTAATGTAAAATGGTTAATTATTTCCAATAAAAAAAAAATGAAGGTACTTTAGTGATAGCCAATATTGAAAATTAGCCATTTAAGTTCTGATGGAGAACATAAATGAGAATAAAACCTACATTATATTAAATACTGTTTAATAATACACTGATATACTGAGTTTAATCAAAATTGTTATATCCGTTTTTGAGAAAATCATAAAAATGTGTTAAATCGGTTATATAAAATACCACTTCCGGTTTGCCGATTTTGACGAAAATGTTGCTGTAACATCGAAAGCTTACAAAAACCTTAAATATGCAATTTCACTTTCATACGACTTCGTTTTTGAGCTAGACTGATAACATACATATACAGACCATTTTGCGGGACTTGGTTATTTGGACTCAGGAGACCTCAAAACATGTATTTCCGTTGAAAACTCAGACTCAAAAATTTTCACCATCGCAATACTTACCCTTACTACATATATTGCATATATAGGTAAGTGAAAGTAAAACGAGATATTTAACATAAACAGAAAAAAGGTTGAAATTTTGATAATTCTGGAAATGCACAAGTTTTTCTATATCCAAAACTTAGATTTTTTTTATACTTAGCAAGCACCTGACAATATAAAAAAATATTGTTTTCAGGGCAACATGTCTTATTTGACTGGAATATATATTGGGTGGATCCATAGGTTCATTCGGTTTTTGAAAGGTGAAATGAAACAATTTTTTTTTCATATAAAGAATAAATTTAACTCAATAATTTATTCGCCGTTTTCATTAATGACGTCTTGACATCTTTCTAACAATTTTATTATTCTGTTCTCGTAAAACATCTGGGGCTCAGAAGCGAAAAACTCATCGAGATACATTTTCACATCTCTCTCATCAACAAACGATTTCCCCTTGAGAGAGTTTTGGAGGCAGTGGAATATGTGGCAGTCGGATGGGGTAAGGTCCGGAAAATACAATCGGTGTAATAAAACATCCCAGCCAAGTTGCACTAACTTTTGCTGAGTGATTATTGGGGAGGGTGATTTCGCTTTGTCATGGTAGAATACAATACCTTTGCGATTGACAAGTTTTGGACGTTTCTGTCGCAATGGTTGGTCCAATTTAGTTAGCTTGGTGCAGTAGATCTTCAAATCAGTAGTTTCTTCTCATGGAAGCAGGTCGTAAAACAGCACGCCATGATAATCCCACCATATGGAGCAAAATCTTTTTCGAAAGTAGGCCAGCCTTGTCCGATTGGAACCTTGATATCATTCAAAACAACCTCGGTGGGCCTAATGCAGCATGGTATATCTTCGAGACTCATATTTTCAGGACAAAACTTGGCAAAATATTTTTGAGCAGTACATTCTGTTAAGGCATCATCCACGTATACCTTACATATCTTTTGGTGAGTCTCCGAAGTTCGCTTGCCTTTTTTGCAATAAAAAAAGCAAAATATGTCGAAAATGTTTGTTATCATTTGACATATTTATTACTACACTGTAACACTAACAAAACTAATGCCAATGAAACCAAAAACAACAGTTTCAAAGAGCGGACTTTGACCTTTTCAATAAATAGCATTATTGTCAGATAAGGGAAAAGAAATGGAGATTCTGAACAAACTTATGGATCCACCCAATATATTTAGAAACTTGACTGACAATTAATAACTGCTCCCAATGATATGCCTGAAGAGTTCACAATTATTTCAAAGTAACTTTTCATTTATGTTAACTTGTTAATTTTTAAGTTAAATTACACTATTTAGTTAGCAAATTTCTTTCTTCATATCGAAGGTATAATCTTTAGGACTGAGTTGACAGACAACGTTTAGATATATACTCACAATCCAACAATAGTCTGTTACTGAAAGGTTGGAAAGTGAGTACCTGGATTAACTAATGAAACCTTATTTTAATATCATCACAAGCTCCTTAGGATTATATACATAAATTTTCAATAAAAAACAAAGATGCACTAAAACAACCAGTCACAAAACTATTAAATAGCTAATTGTGAGTTTATGGTTGACTACAATGAATAATTGAAGAGAAGGGTGGTTGGGGTGGGTGATCAGTCAACTTAAAATGATAAAAATAAATAAAATTATTTATTTTTACCATTTTAATTTTACTGATCACCCCAACCATCCTTCTCTTCTATTAAATAGCTACCTCATTACATTAACAACAGTTTTGGCAAAAAGATAACTGATAGGTCAATGCTGACTTATAATCCTATAAAACGCTAATAAGAATTCATAAAATGCCTTAAGAGCAGACGTGATCAACTCCTTTAGCACATAAGTTTAACAATAAATGCCATTGTGATTAAGTACCGAATACTAGCTGGTATCTTATCACTCTATGCTTTCTCTATAATTCAATTGTATGTTTTACATAATATAGCCAAGTTAATACGTGTAAAGTAATAAATAAAAAGCAAAAGACAAGTACTGAAAAACCTTGAAAGTAGAATGATTACCACTAAACTAGGGATCGACCGATACCAATATTGATATCAGTATATCGGTGGCATTGGACTTTCAGCTGATTATCGTTATCGGCCAATATGGCGATATATCAGCATTCCTCAATGCTTTTTATTATTATTATTTTTTTTTTTTAGAGGATATCAATATTCTAAATGTCCATCCACCTTAAGACCTTATTTTATCGAGATTCAAAGAATTTCACTTGGAATATTATTTTTATTGCTAATGAATGGGTCAATCAATAATTAAATCCATAATTTCTTAGTAAACTCCCATGAATTTTTATTAGAAATAATATTATGTCATCATATGTTATGAAAATGAATTGTTAATATTTTAAAAACTAAAGAAGTAAAAATTAAAATTTCCCATTTCTATAATAGTTTTAATTCATATATATTGTAAGGTTACGTTTCCTTTGAAAAGTAAACAAAACAGTTTCTAAATCAACTTATATTTATTTTAAACAATAATTATTTCTCAGGTTGGATTGAGACAACAAACACACATTCCTCAATTATACAATATAAAAGCATACATTAATTTTATGTAACATTTACGAATTCCCATTGTTTGTCGGTGTCTACTTTTGGTGCACTTTTGAACTGTCACTCACCCTGTTCTGCAGTGAATCTTCCTATGTGTTGTATTCAACTTCTACAATCTTCTATTCTTCCTTCGTTGACACTTACTACTTGTTAGTCACATTTTCTTCTCTCGATCCTCTTTACTAGCCGGCTGGCTACCTTCTGCCTGAGCATATAGCTTGTGCTTCTCCTTCCATCTGTCTTTGTCCATTTTTAACAGAAGTTCGTGACGTCACTGCCTTTGTGCCACTATTTAAAATCACTATGTAATATTTACATTACAATATTTTTAAATTTTATTTTTTTGGTCCTTCCCTCTCCCACTTGAGCAGATACCAATATTCTAAAGACCGATATATCAGCCTTACGACCATATTTTATTAAAATTCAAAAGTTTGACACATCTATTAGTAATACAAATAATATAAAAAAAAGTATATATATATATATATATATATATATATATATATTATATTCTTCCCAAAATTTGAGCAGACACCGATATTCTTAAGACAAATGTATTGGCCTTATATATATATTGTAATGTAAATATTAAATAATGACGTCACGACCTACTGCCAAGTAATGGACAAAGAGGTGGAGGCAGATAGGTGAAAGGGAGAGCAAGCACCATATGTGGGAGACAAAAAGTAACCAGCGGCAAGGAAAGAGCATCGAGACCGACATAGAGTGACCGACTGGCAAGGAGTGAATGTCGAAACGAGGGACAAGAAAATAGAAGATTAAGAGAAGATATTTATAGAAGTTGAATACAGTTAAGCCTGCAGCAACAACACAGAGGGAGATTCAATGCGGACCAGGGTGAGTGCAAAATAAACAGTGAAATTTAGAAAGGTTGGGCCCCAACAAAACTGAATGGAAATTCATAAATATTTCCTAGCAAATTAATGTATGCTCTTAGATTATATAATTGAGGGATATGTGTTTATTTGTCTCAACCCAACCTGTGAAATAATTTGTAGTCTTAATAATTTAAAATAATTGTATGAAATAATTA